TAGAAAAATAAAATAAAACTCATCAATTCATATGTAAATATAATTTCTATGTCGAACAAATGAACGAGCGGAATGATGAAAATATCAAAATAAAAAAACAACTACAACAACAACGTAGACAATTTACGCTTTATCGTACAAAAATTAATAGAAATTAATTGATAACATTCAGAGTAATATTTTTTTCATTTTCAGATGTTCCGACGATATGGCTGGTGTGGTCTATTGTCTATCTATATACACACAGACATATATATTTCATCTTCTCCATATACTGCCACAGCCACCCGCTAGCTCCCGGTTGTTACCAGTTGATCAGCAGTTGTAACAAAATGAAACAAAAATATGATGATGAATATGAATATTCAAGTCATTGTTCGGACATGAAATCATTTCAGTTGTTTCTTTTTTTTTCGTTTTTTAATGAAAATCATATGATTCTGGATCGAACGCCACCACGACCAGTCATTGAGATACATATTCGTAGAGGAATAATAAAAAACAATATGAGAAAAAAAAGAAAACCGCTCACAATAAAAAATATATATCAGGAATTTTTTTAAAAAATATTTGTTGAAGGACTGTCAGAGGTTAGATTAAAAAAAGCTTAAAAGTAGGCGTGGATTTTTTTTTTTTTTTGGAGAGCCAAAATAGGCGTATATCTTAAAAAAATATTAAAAAAATTTGCGTAGATTTGAAAAAAAAATATTTTTTCTAATTCTTGAATTATTTTTAATTATTTTCAAAGGCTTTCAAAAAAAAATATTTAATTTTTTCAAAGATGACACAAGAAGTAGGTTTAAAAAAATTAGTTTTGAATTTAAAAAAAAAAAATACAAGTTAGCATAACACAAATATTTTTAGTCACCATCTAAAGGCGCAGATTTTTTAAAGGACCATTACAAAGCGTGGATTTAAAAAAAAAAACAGGGACCATAATAAAGTGTGAATTTAATAAAAAAAAAAAAATATATATATATACTTTTTTAAGGTGACAGGACAAAGCGAGGGTTCAGAACCTAAATTAGGGAAATCAACTTCTTATGAGACCATTTACTAACCATTTTGTGAAATGCCGAAAATTAGAAAACACCATTATGTGATGGCTATACCAAAACCTCTTCTAATATGTCCCATTATGTGTATGGAAGATCCAAGGATTAATGTGAATATTTGTGCTGAGATTCAACGCTCTATCTTTAATATTCCACATTTTAAGGATGATTATGAAAAATGGCGCCCAACTTGGAGGAAATCATTTAGATTAAGATCATTTGCCTTAGGATTTTTATCTATGTGAACTTTCAAATATATATATATATATATACTTTTTTAAGGTGACAGGACAAAGCGAGGGTTCAGAACCTAAATTAGGGAAATCAACTTCTTATGAGACCATTTACTAACCATTTTGTGAAATGCCGAAAATTAGAAAACACCATTATGTGATGGCTATACCAAAACCTCTTCTAATATGTCCCATTATGTGTATGGAAGATCCAAGGATTAATGTGAATATTTGTGCTGAGATTCAACGCTCTATCTTTAATATTTCACATTTTAAGGATGATTATGAAAAATGGCGCCCAACTTGGAGGAAATCTTTTAGATTAAGATCATTTGCCTTAGGATTTTTATCTATGTGAACTTTCAAAGCCTTTTTATAGGTATTACACGGCATAGATCGATTTAAAAAAATGGCGCCCAACATATTGTTGGTCTTTAAATAGAGACTTTTATGCCTTACGATGACTATGAACATATGTGCTGAGTTTCAAAACTCAATCTTTGATATTAACTACTCAGTAGAAATCGATTTAAAAATTTAAAGCCAAGCGTGAGGATGCCGCAATTTTTCTTATAAAAAATTAATATTCAAAACTCTAGGAATGGTTGTACAAATTTTATGGGGATTAAAAAAAAATATAGCGACGTTCTTCGACAGTCCTTAAACACAGGATTATTTGCCGTAAGATCATTCGTAGGAATGTTTTTGCTGAGTTTTAAATCTCTTTATTTTAAGGCTGAGTTTTAAAACTCTATCTTTGATAATATGCATTTAAGACGATTAAGATAATGGCGCCCAACGTGGGGTAGTCTTTGAAGCCGATTTTATAAATGGTGCCCAACGTGGGTTTTTTTAATTAGACCATTATTTGTCTTTGGATGAGTATGAATATTTGTTCTGATTTTCAAAACTCTATCTGAGATATTAAATCGATTTTAGAAGTGGCGCCCAACGTAAACTCAAAAACATTTGCCTTAGGAATAGTTGTGCTGATTTAAAAAAATGGCGCCCAACGCCTTAGCATTATTATGCATATTGAATTTCAATGCTCTAGGTTTGATATTACACATTTTAGTTTGATTTAGTAAATGGCGCCCAACGTGGATTAGTCTTTAAATCAAGAGTATTTGCCATAAGATTATTATGCATATTTCTGCAGAGTTTCAAAGCTCTATCTTTGATATGGCATATTTTGAGACGATTTAAAAAATTGGCGCCCAACGTGGGGTAGGTTAAAATTCCAAGAATATTTTCTTCTGGATTATTATAAACATTTGGCGCCAAACCTTGTAATTCTTTTATGATCGGAAAGAATGCCGTCAGACCATATGATACCATACACAACTTCCACGAGAATATAACTTTCTGTAGTTCTATAGTCTGAGCTTGGGCAATATTTACACCCGATATTTGCACCCTCTTGACTGACCAGAGGTCAACAAATATTACTAATATTCAATACAGCCCTTCTAATTACTTGTCCACATTCCCTTCACCGTGGGTTGTGTTGTGATGTTCGGCTTTCAATTGTTGCTTATAGGTCGACTAAAAAAAGACAAAAAATTATGTTTTCGGTCCACCTCATCCCAATATTATTATCTGATCATCACCGAAAATTAAAGGCGTTGTCCTTGATCATACCTGGATCTTCATGGGACATTTCAAAGCGATAAGCGCTATATGTCCACACTCCAGTGTGGTAATGGGTTACTAAATAATATCTGAATACGTAAGCACCTGTAGATATTTACGTGTAACTCCCACATCCGAGTACACACAACAATATAATTGGTACCAATTTAAAGGCCAACCACTCCCCTTGGATATACTATCAACTTCTCGGGTCTATGTCCTTCAGGAGTAAATATATACGCTATAAAATACAAATTTTGTCATTTTTCACACAAAAGTCAGGGTCCATTTGAAACGCTAGATATTGACCAATCGTTATCATACTTATTCTTTGGCCCGATCCACTCTTTCATGCAAAAAATTGTAATTGTTTGGGCCATAATTGCGGCCTCTAAAGCGACCAGAATATCAGACAAAAATTAAGAGTTTTGTTCCATTTCATCCCCTAAATATTAACCGATCTTTACCAAAAACAATAGGGGTCTTAACTGACCAGTAACCACCTTAGATGCAAATTTTCGTGACCTGTATCGTGTTTACAAATTATAATGGACAGACGGACGGACGGGCGGACACACATGTCTAGATCGACTCAGCTAGTCGAGATATGACGATTGGTATATTTAAAGGTGGGCCCAGGACCAATATTTCGCGGCGTTACAAACTCTTGGGGCTGCACAAAGCTATAATACCCTGACAAAATAGTTGTGTAGGATATAAAAATTAAAAAAAAAATAAAAATTTGTCTGGAGTTTTGAAATCAATTTTTGATGGACTCATGTACTAATTTATGACATGTTTTTAAATTTTTTTCACTTGACTACTTTTTTGGTTTTTGTTTTTTTATGCTCAAATTTTTTTATTTTTAATTACCTTTTGTTGTTGTTATTTGTGTTGTGGGAAAAAATTACAAAAAACACAAAATCAAATGCGGAAAATAAAATTAAATAATAAACTTTTGTTGTTGATTTTTTTGTTGGTAACACAGGAAGTTAATTAAGAAAATCAGGTGTATAACTTTTTGATTGATTAAAATAATTATTAAAAATTAAAAAAATTTAAATGAGATGGATTTCATTTGATTTTTTAAGGTTTTGATTTTTTTTATAATATTTGGAAAATTATAAAGTTTAAATCAGTTGGTTTTTTTCAAGGTTTTAATTTTTTTTATTTTCAATATTTTAATTTTTTTTAATTTTTCAATGTTTTGAAAATTTAAATCAGTTGGATTTTTAAAGATTTTAATTTAATTTTATTACACTTTTTTATATTTAAAATAATTTTTTTTATTTTTCACAGGTGTTTTATGTGTGTTAATTTTTCAAGATTTTCGATGTTTTGAAATTTTAAATCAGTTGGATTTTTTAATGTTTGTTTGTTTTTATTTATTTATTTTATTTTTACTTCTTTTTTTTGTGATATTTAAAATAATTTTTTATTTATTTTTCACAGGTGTTGTAATTACTTTTTTATTACTTTCTGGATTCCACTGGGTTGATTTTTAATTTCGAATTTATTTCTGTTTTTAATTTAGATTTTTTTTCGAAAATTTTTTAGTCGTGAATTTTTAATTAATTTTTTTTTTCAATTTCACTTTTTATTTTTTCCTGACTTCGTTTGAATTTGTTTTTCTTTCTTAGAATTCCAATTTCTATTTCAAGTGACCGTATGTATATATGTACATATATTTATGTATATGACGCACTCTTGCCTTGCCTTTTGCGTTAGCTTAATGCTTTAGCCGTTTTTTTTTTCTTTCCTTGCTTTGCTTTACTTTTTTTCTTTTCTTCACAATCTATACCCGATGGGGAATAATACTTTCAATTCCTTTACTTTGCTTGCTTTGGTGTTTAAATATTCCGACGTTATTACTACTCGAATGAATATGGTCGTTGTCGACTTCTTCTCTTTATTTGTGCTGCCGTTTACTGCTGCTTCTTCTTATTCTTCTTCGGTATATTCCAAAAGTGTTTTATAAGTTGTGTGAGTAGTTGTTGCTGTTGTGCTGATAACCGATTTCATCAATTAGCCAAAAAAATTAACTTTTCATTGAATTCTCAGTTTAGTTGTTCGTTTTAATGACTTTATTCGCCCGTAATACGACGCGATAATATCTCGATAAGATATCGACAGGTGTCAATTCTAAGACGTTGATCAATAACAATTGTTAGCAGATTAGAGCTTCTGCAAGATGAGCACAGTTTCATCATTTGATGTAGACTGACGATTGGTGTTTCACTGGCAACGCAAACAAGCCTTTTGCAAAACGTATTTTGCTGGCAGGCACCGAGGCAAACAAACGGAAATAAGCACGATATACTCTGTTTTACTCTCTCATATGTGCACACACACACATACTCTCTCGCTCTGACTCTATCATGTTCATCCAACAAGTAAGCACCACACACAATTAAAACCAAGCACAGGCAAAACAACTAGGCAGCCATTTGTATCAAGAGCACACATAGTGTGAGACATATAAAGAGAGAGAGATAGAGAGGGAGCTACAGTTGGGGTGGGAGACTCAGCAAATGGGGAATGTCTGTGCATGCTTTATTTACCCAAGCAAGCAGGCAAACAATGAAAACCCCACAATACAACAAAGGAGATTTATTGTTATTTACTAAAGAGAGCCAACGGAAGAGAGACCCCCAAATGTTTGGGCAATGCTCTGTTCCTCCACTCATCTTGAAAACTCTTTAAGACTTAATTGCCGCTTAGCTCTTACCACCCAATTTAAAAGGAGAAAAGCAGACTCTTTCAAACTATCTACCTTTAGCATTATTAAAATTGTTTAAATAATAACAACAACAAAAAATCCATCTTACGTATTTGTTTATTGACAATAAACAAATGGAGGGAGCGGAGAATTGTTGTTGTTAAAAATTCTAGAAGAAAAAAATTAAATTGTCAACGAATGTCAGGTTTTGTTTCTAGAAGTCAAAGTCATCTCCAAAAAAATTGTTGGAGAAGGTTTTTGGTGTGGGTAACAAATTTGTCGACAAATGTCGTAAATGTCAAAAACTTGTATAAATTGTAGAAAACATAAAAAATTAAAAATTTTTAATTAAAATTGTTTTAAAGAATAAAAAAAATTATTTTCAGTAACAAACACACACGTGTAAAAAATGTCGCAAATGTCACAAACTTGTACAAAATGTTAAAAACGTCAAAAAAACTTGTAGAAAATCTCAAGCAAATACACATTTGGAAAGTAAATGGTATTTTTTGTGAAAAATTCATATGTATTTTACATGTAGTAAATGTCAAAAACCTGTATAAAATTGTATAAAACCCCCCGAATGATATTTTTTAAAGAAAATTAAAACATGACATCTTCAAAAATTATTTGTGGAAAAAGACAAGGTAGTTTGATGTGGGTAACAAATTTTTTACAAATGTCGGAAATGTCGAAAACTTGTCTAAAACGTAGAAAACTTAAAAAAATTATTATACACAAGTTTTAATAATATATCAAAAAATATTTTTCTGACTACAAAAAATCATGTTGTAAAAAATGTCGCAAATGTCACAAACTTGTATAAAATGTCGAAAACGTCAAAAACCAGTAAATAACGTAAAAAAACGTAACGTAAAAGGTATTGCAAATTTGAAAACTAAATTGTATTTTTTGGCGAAAAACTCATATGTATTTTACATGTCGTAAATGTCAAAAACCTGTATAAACCCCCAGAATAATCTTTTTTCACAGAACACAAAAACTGGGCATCTGCAAAAATTATTTTTGGAAAAAGAGAAGGTAGTTTGGTGTGGGTAACAAATTTTTTACAAATGTCGTAAATGTCAAATACTTGTAAAAAATATAGAAAACATAAAAATATTAACATTTTTAAATTAAAATACCTAAAAATAGTAATTTCTTGTCAAAAAAATTCATTTATAAAATAATGTCGCAAATGTCAAAAACCTGTATAAAATGTAGAAAACGTCAAAAACCTATAGAATATGACAAAGAAATAGAAATTTGCAAAGTAACTATTAAAAATATAACATTTTGGTTAAAAAATCCCTATGTATTTTACATGTCGTAAATGTCACAAACTTGTATAAAACCCCTAAATTGAATATATTTAGTAAAACTTACAATATAAATTATATTTTTGAAAGAAATATCAAAATTTGGGCAATGTCGTAAATGTCAAAAATGTCACATACTTGTAAAAATGCGTATTAAACCCCATAAATGAATATATAATGTGATCATGATAATAGAACTTTAGTTTTCGTTAAAAATCCATATGTATTAGATATGTCGTGAATGTCTCCCAATTGTAAAAACGTGTATAAAACCTTTAAAATAATGTATTTAGTAAAAACTCAACATTGAACAACATTTTCAAACAAAGTGGAGAAATTGTACAAATTTGAGTAATGTTGTAAATGTCATAAATGTCAAATATTTGTAAAAACCTATAGAAACCCTCAAAAATTAATAAATTTTGTAAAATTTATTATATAAACTTACATTTGGTAAAATTTTGATTAAAAATCCATATGTATTATGCATGTAAATTTTCTTTAAGGAGCTGTTTTAACCCTCTGAGAACCCTAAATGCCAAATTAGCACCATATCAATGGGAAAATATTAGTTTGCTCTTCAAGAACCCCAATTTGCCAAATTGCAGTAAATTCGGTTAAAACAATAAAAAAGTCCCCAATTTTGTTTAGCAGTTATATTGTGGCCGTACCAAAATCTTATCCAATATTTCCCATTTTCAGTACCAAACACCCAGAAAGTGCTGGAAATTTATGTAAAAAATTTCAAAGCTCTAGCATCAATATTACGAGCTTTATCGGCACTTCAAAGGCAGTGGGTCAAAGAGGGGGACATGTATAAATCGACAGAGAATTTTACTCAGAACCAATAATGAAATATATGTATACACATTTATATATACATCAATGGATTCCTTGTTAATTTTTTCCAATCAAAAAATTAATATTTTTTAATATTAATTAAAAAATACTGAATCTTCTTAATACCGACAACCCTATAATATCTACCATATCACAATTTTCCTCTCTTTAAAGAGAATTCTCTTTCTCTCTTCAATTCAACTGCATTTTATAAATAACTGTCTGTTCCAATAAGAATCTCTTTCACTCTGTGATTTTTTTGTCTTCCATTGCCTATGAGAGGGAGAAGTAAGAGAGAGAGTGCGAGAAATGTGCATTGAACAAACCTGTATGTATTTGCTTATATATGAAACGAGTATATATGTGCACAGTGTATGTAAACACAACTACGTCATTAAATCACGACATCAGCAGTCGTGGCAGCGGCAGCCGAGACAGAGACGACGACGGCAGCAACAACACAACACACCTAGGCAAACTGTGAGCGTCATCATCATCGTCGTCAATAAACGACAATAACAACAAAAACAACAACGACAAAGACGACTACCAACGACAACAACAAAAATAGAGAGTCTAAACATCATTTACATGGCATTCATTGCCAGGAGAAGGCTCATAGAAATTGATAAAATGTTAAGCAGGATGGTACAAGAAAACCCAGAGGGAATGGAAGACGTAGAGTAAAGGACAAAGAAAGAAGCAACAAAATAAAGTGACAAAAGAAACAAACATTTATTGAGGAGGAGTAAAATGAGGTAAATAGAAAAAGAGGTGCATGCATGCCAAAACAAGACTTCTTTCTATAGAGTAGGGGATGAGTGGGAGAGCAGAGAGAGGTGTGTGTGTGTATGTGTGTCTGCTTAGGCATGCAACTGGAAGTTTAAATGTTGCAACTGAAATTGAAAACAAATGAATGTTAGGTGTCAGGCAGGTAGGTAGGGAAGGGGATTATTGGGATCTGTAAAACAAACAAGGAAATGCATTCAGGGTTTTTTTTTTTTTGAAATTTTAATTGTTGTTTTTGTGCAATTTAAGGTTGGTGGGAGAGAATTTTTTGTTTGCTTTGTTTTTGTAGTGGAAAAACTAGTTAACTTCACAGTTGCATCCATAACAAAGTCAACCAGCAGCTATTGTATTTCGTGTAAATGTCAGGGCCAAAATGAGAATTGGTTTCCTTTGTAAAGAAAATGGGTGTAGTTTCGTATTACACTGAGAGAAAAAAATTAAAAAAACAGAGATGGAAATTAAAAAAGATTTTATGTAAAAACTAGAAGAAGAAAATCAGATGACGTTTACGTAACGACAGAATGTATACGCATCGGAGAACTCCAAGAATGGGAAAGAGACAATTTTTTAAAAACTATTCTTAAGGTCCAGCAATAGGCGTGGATTTTTTTCAAAATTATTTGTAGAGTCCAGCAATTCGATTTTTTTTTAAATAAAAGCTAATCTACAGGATTGCCCATATTCGACGGACCCATCTGGCAACGCCATAAGGCTCTTTCTAATCCGAAGAGGTCATATAAAAGTCGACCAAGGCGATCGGCCGAGAATATCGATGCCGTACGAGCCAGTGTTGAGAGGTCCCCAAGAACATCCCAAAAACGCCGTTCTCAGCAGTTGGGCATGGCTCGGTCCACTTTACAACGGATTATTCGCATTGATTTGCCTTTGTTCCCGTACAAAATTCAAGTGACGCAAAGAATGTTGCCTGCGGACAAGCCTCGTCGATTGGAATGGGCCCAAAGAGTCATCGAAACGGCCGAAGATGACGAGCAATTTTGGAACAAAATTATCATGTCCGATGAAGCCCATTTCACATTGAATGGGACCGTAAAACAGCAAAATTGCCGTTTTTACGCCACTGAAAATCCTCAGGAGATACAAGAAGTGCCTCTTCATGACGAAAAAGTCACAGTTTGGTGCGGCGTTAGTGCGAAAACGATCATTGGGTCGTTTTTCTTTTAAAATGAAAATGACCATGCTGTTACCATCAATCAGGAGCGTTATCGCGACATGATGACCTATTTTGTGATGCCAATTATTCGTCGAAAGCGTATGAGGCAGTTCTGGTTGCAACAAGACGGCGCTCCACCGCACAAAAATCGCATAACAATCGATTTTCTGAAGAATTTGTTTGCGGGCCGTTTGATGTCGAAAAGTGGTGATTTGGACTGGCCACCGCGTTCGCCCGATTTGACGCTGCCTGACTTCTTCTTGTGGGGATATTTGAAGTCAATGGTTTACGTTAACAAGCGAAGGACCGTAGAAGAGCTCAAGGACAACATTCGTGAAGAAATAGTCGCTATTCCGGGCGAAATGTTGGCAAAAACGATGGAAAATGCAGCAAAAAGGGCACAATATGTCATCAACGCCATAGG